TATTCTTATTTTGCATACAATATCGATATCAGCATGGACAGATATTAAGTTCAACCAGATTGTAGCGTTCGGTCAGGTTCATTCGGGTTAACGGCTGATTGGACCGGAAGGGGTGTTACAGCATGACAGGATATAAGTTCAACCAGATTGTAGCGTCTCGGCTCGGTTCATTCGGGTTAACGGGTGGACCGGGAAGGGGTGTTACAATATGTTTATAGGAAGTATAGGAAATGCATACATATATGACGTGTATGTAATGGAATCATATTCAAAATATGATTAAATTGCATTGAATGGGTTGATCTGTTAGTGGCCACTAGGTGTAACAGTAGAAGAACATCTGAATCAAGAACCTTCCAATGAGTTTTCCTAGAAAAAGAGTTATCAATAAGAGGCCTGTAATAGGAATGCAAAAATTCATTTGACAAGTGTAACAGTACATGCATATCAGTTCTATATTAAAAGAGCAAAAATTCATTTGAAAGAGAGAGTTCAATAATAAACCTATCAGTTCTATATTAGTGAATAGCAATGCATTTAATTCCTCTATATATTTCATTCTAGCATAGACATATGCATTTAGTACTTTGATATCGAGTACCTGCATTTTAAATATAGGAAGTGAAACAGTAGGTCAGAATTATAGCAGTCCCTCCCTTTAGTTATTTCTAATTTGAAAAAATGGAGTGAAAGCTTGGAATTTTCAACTCGTCATATTGGCTACAAAATCTTAGAATAACATTCCAAAAAGTCTACCTCTTCTCATCCTTTTTGTCTTTGGTCCATAAGAGAAGATAACTATTATATTTATGTTCTTTAGTTAGTGGGTGTTTTGAATTGCATGTGCCACCCAATAATATATGATGGGATTGTTTAGATAACATTAGTTAAATCTTTTCTTAAGAAAATAATTAGTTAGAATTATTTGTCGATTAAGCACGTGATTTGAGGAAAAGTTACATATATTAGTAGAATGCTAAAGCAACGTCTTCAAATATTCATGCTTTATAATTTTTATTCATAATATTTATAATATTTGCTTATACTCATAATTTTATACCTTCTCTGTTTCTCAAAATAGCTTTTCATGCATTTAATGCAAGTGACATTCATGTTCTCCTATTAAAGATAATGATTATAGATTATGGTCTTTTGTATATTTTTTTTTTACTTTTTTTAAATGTGAACTTATTGGCATGTGTAGATTTTTCAAACATATAGATTTCACATATTTTAGTTACTTTGCATCATAAATATTTCCATATTAATTTTTATGCCTTACTCCTTTTTTCTTGAACTTTGTTACATGTTTATTAGATGAATGTTAGCAATAGCAAGGACATTCATATTGTTATTGAGCTAACCATTTTTTTAAATGTTATAAGTTAGTCATTGCATTTAGATAACTATAGCTTCACATTTTGTGTCTTTCTCATCTAGATAAAAGAGAGGACACTGATCGACTTCAATGCAACCAGGTTTTTTATAAAATGAGGAGCGACCAGAATTGGATGTACCATAGATTTGAAGTTAACAGAATATTGACTCGGGAATTTATCAATGGTTTACAAAACATTCATTGATTTTGCTGTATCCAAACCATCTTTTATAGATGGACAAAAGTTATAGTGTCCGTGCAGCAATAGAAAGTGTCAAAACACAAGCTTTCATGATGTTGAGATAGTTAAGTTTCACCTATGCAAGTACGAATTTATAGAGAATTACTATGAGTGGACATCCCATGGAGAAAGTGGGGGTGACACAAGATTCAACGAGGCAACCGATGAATCATCAGGTATGAATGCACTTAGAAATGATGACTTAAATACAAGCAGCAGGTATCAAGAAATGGTTATGGATGCTGCCGGTCAAGAGTTCCATTGGGATTCGATGGAGGAATTGCCAAATGAAACAGCCCGAAGACTATTTGGTATGCTAAATGTAGCAAACCATGAATTATGGCCGGGTTGCACGAAGCATACAAAACTCTCTATAGTAGCACAGTTATTGCACATAAAGGCTGAACACCATTTGTCTTAAAGGTGTTTCAATGACTTTGTGTAGATCATGAAAGAGGTCATCCCAGACGATAACTGTCTTGTAGATAACTTCCATGGCACCAAAAAAATGGTTCAAGGATAGGGACTTCTAGTTGAAAAGATTGATTGCTGTCAGAGTAATTGCATGATCTTCTGGGGTGAAGATAGTGTTTTACGTGTTTGTAAGTTTTGCAATCTACCAAGATACAAACGAAGGGGTTGGGGTTCTGGTAGACATCAAAAGGAGAAGCCATATAAGAAAATGTACTATTTTCCCCTCACTCTTAGATTGTAAAGACTTTATGCATCAAATGCCATAGCAAAGCATATGCGATGGCATGCCGAGCATGAATTTGAACTTGGTATATTGCGCCATCTGTCTGATGCAGAAGCATGGAAACACTTCAACAGACAATATGACGCTTTTGCATCTGATACTTGGAATGTGAGGTTGGGTTTATGTACTGATGGGTTTCAACCCTTTGGTCAATCCGGACAATAATACTCCTCTTGGCCTATCATTGTTACACCTTATAATTTACCCCAATGGATGTGTATAAAAGAAGAGTATATGTTTCTTTACATAATAATTCCAAGTCTAAAACATCCATAAGTACAAGGTTGATGTTTTCCTCCAACCGTTAATTGCAGAATTGAAATAATTGTGGGAGATAGTTGTTCAAACATTTGATGCTTCAACCAAATAGAACTTCATTATGAAAGCTGCTTTATTATGGACAATAAGTGATTTTCCAGACCTTGCCATGTTGTCTGGGTGGAGCACTGCAAGGAAGCCTGCTTTATTATGGAGTACTGCCCTTGCCATGTTTCAACCAAACAAATGCTGTTATACATGAATTATGGGAGGAAAAGGCTACAGTGCTGTACAAGGACTATCTTAGTAAAATGCACAATAAAGGAGAAAAACAGAAGGGCATTAGAGATTCAGTCTAGAAGAAATGGCAGGAAGCATGGATTAACCCAGAGTACCAAGCTAAATGCAACACTTATTCAAATAATAAGCACAGCAAGACTGGAGGGAAGGGTGCTGGTCTATCCCACCATACTGGGGGATCCACATCCGCTTTAGAGATTGGACGATGAATGGTTAGTTTTACTAATTAATTATAATGCAACTTTGTACAAGTAAATGGTTTACTCGATTAATGTAAATGTATTCCATTAAGATGCTTAATAGGCCAAAGAACTTAGGCGTATACCTTTGCCTATGGAGGTATTTACATACACTCACACTAGGAAGCATGATGGCCAGACGTTCGTGGACCAACGGGCTCCGGGTGTTGCAATAAGCTTTATAACCATTATTTTTGCTTTGTGTCTTTGCATTTTTCAAGAAAATAGTGATTTATCAAATGTTGTTTCATTATACCTTTAAGATCTTTGTATTTCTTCTTTTGTAGGATAATTTTAATAAAATTCTTGATGAGCAGTCCTCACAGGTTGCGTCTGGAGCTGGTATTACTATTGATCAGACACAAATATATCTAGAAGCTGCTGGAGGTAAGAAAAAGCAAAAGGTTTACAGAAATGACAAACATGCTTCTGTTTATTATAACAATTTTACTACTGCTCCTCCGAGTGCCACTTCTTCAGCTACACAAGATCCAACTTTGACTGAGCAGGTTCGTCTAATACAAGAGCAGATGTAGAAACAAGTAGAGGAAATGAGAGAGCTCAGAGAGTGGCGAGAGCAGGTGATGCAGCAGATGGGTACTAGACAAGGTCCACATGGTCCACCACATACAGACACTATTTCAGCAGAGGATGCAGACATTAAACCACTTTCTGACCAGTCACCGAATCACTTTGATGGTGCAATAGATGCGAATTAGATTTGTTCGACTAATAAATCTATTATGAACTTTCTTTTTCAAATTTAGCAACTATTGCATACTAGGACTAGTGGAATATTTATGCTACAACTGTTTCACTAGCTTTGGCTTCCTTCCATTTTGTTTTTATTTATTTTGGAAGGTTGGAAATACTTGTGTATATTTTGGATATATTTTTGCAGGTTGTAAATTTTTTGGAATTATATGAAAATAAATAATTATTTTCTATAAATAGATATTTAGCGACTGAATTGACACAATTTAGCGATTGCATATTAAATTTATTTTACTCCACTTGAAAATATTAACGACTGAATTGTGACCGATAATTTAATTCATTAAAACTATTAGCGACCAAATTAGAGACCCTTAAAGACCCTTAGAGACCACGTTAGCGACCGTGTAGCAACCGAGACCGATTTTTTGTGACCATTTAAAAACCGTTATATAGCTACGAGAAGAAAACCAAATTAGCGACTGCTATAAGATTTTTAGCGACCAATATACAAAATGGTTGCTAACTCTGTTAGCGACCAGCAGATTAGCAACAAAATGTGTCAGTCGCTATTTGGCTTTTTTTTAATGTCTTTATATTTGTATGATTTGTTTGGATATATTTTTTCTAAAAATAATTTTTAAATAGAATATACATAATATTGTTTTTAGGAGAGAGATAAAGAAAAGAAAAAAGTATACTATTTTTATTAATATTTTATTTTAATGTTTTTATGATTTGATTATGATTTGTTTGGGTAGTTTAAAAAAAAAAATTCAAATAGAATACATATAATTAAATCTTTCAAAATTTTTAAATAACATTTTATTAGTTGATTGGATATGTTATAAAACTTATTTTTAAAATAAATATATATAGATATTTAAGCATTTCAAAATTTTAAACATTATCTTTTTCAAATTTATTTTTTGTTAGACTTAAATAAACAAGCTAGTGCCAAACATTCCACCTCAGCCAATGCCAACTCAGCCTTAAATAGTTGCACAACAGAAGTTGCCAACTCAGCTCAAGTTTGTTAGTAGATTTGTTAGGAGCCGTTGCTTTTGTTCCTAGTTCAATTAGATTAGCTGGCATTATATAAGCGATGGTACTTGTGCAGATCTCAACTCAATGGAAAGCGTTTTTCTTATTTTCGTTTTTGCCTTCTGTTTTTTCTGCAACATGCTATCAGAGCATCCTTGATTCTTTTTCTCCTTCATTGAAGTTACGCTTCTGGTTTAGTTTTTCCGTTTCTTTAAACCTTGAATATCTTCAATTTTCTTGATTTTGTTTCAACAATGGCGGTCGATCCTACTGTTAATCCTTGTAGTCCTTTTTTCTTACATCCTAATGAGAATCTGGCTTTAGCTCTTGTCTCTCCACCACTTTCAGGTCGAAATTACTCTTCTTGGTCTCGAGCCATGAAAATGACGTCAATCTCAAAGAAAAAATATAAGTTTGTTGATGGAACTATGGCAATTCCTCTAGTTACTGATCCTCTATACTCAGCTTGGGAGAGATGCAATAATATGGTGATTTCTTGGCTTATTCACTCTCTTTCACCATCTTTAACTCAAAGCATAATTTGGATTGACAGAGCTGCTAATATATTGAAAGATCTCAGAGATAGGTTTTCACAAGGTAATATTCTTAGAATTTCAAACATATAAGAAGAAATTTCTGCTTTGGAACAAGGAGATAGAACTGTAACTGACTATTTCACAGAATTGAAGATATTATGGGATGAGTTGATTAGTTTCAGGCCTACACCTATCTGTACTTGCACAAACCGATGTGATTATGGAGCTTTTCTTAAATTGAAGGAATGTCAGGAGCATGACTATGTGATAAAGTTTCTGAAAGGTCTTAATGATTAATATTCTGTTGTCAAGACTCAGGTAATGATGCTAGACCCCTTACCTACAATCAACAAAGCCTTTTCTTTGGTTTTACAGCAAGGCAAATTTTTCCCCTAAATTCTGTACCTAGTGATGCTAAAGCTTTAGCTGCTCGCAGTAACAATTTTGTGCCTAGAAATATTAGTACTGGTACTGGCAATAGTCCTCAATTTTATCCAAGAAACAAAACTTAAGGTGGTACCTCAGGTTTCAGACCCAAGACTTAGTTTTCTAGAGGTGCAGACACAAGGTACTGTACATATTATGGCAACTATAAACACAGTTGAAACATGCTATAAAAAGCATGGATATCCACTAAGGTATAGTCTAAGGCCTAGAAATGCTTCCTTTCTGAATTCACAAGCAGCAGTTCATTGTATTTCTACTAAAGATCAGTCAAGGTCTAGGCCTCATTTGGTTAACAACACAAAGTGTACTGGAGATATGAATCTTTCCATGTCTAATTCAGGAGGTTTTCAATTTACACCACAGAAAATTCAAGGTTTGGTATCCATACTTCAGGTACGACAAGATGGTTTTGCTTCAAGTTCTCTATCTCAAGCTGCATTGCCTTCAACTTCTGCAGTCAACACTTCTGCTAACCCTAATCCTTCTCCTTCCTCAACTGTGAATATGATTTCCTCCTTCCCTTCACAATCAGGTAAGATTCTTACTCTTACTTCTCTGTTAAACCAGTTGTTTGGATTGTCTGGTGCAACAGATCATGTTACTAATTCATTAGCAAATTATCACTCTCACCATAAAATCTCACCAATCTTTGTTACCCTACCTGATGGATTTGTCCTTATAGCCACCATCTCTAGTATTGTTATATTAGCGTCTGGTTTAATTTTAAAGATGTCCTTTACTTACCTTCCTTACGTATAATCTTTTTTTTTTTATTAAAAAAAAAAAAAAAAAAAATTACCCTTCCTTAACGTAAATAATCTTTTTTTTTTATAAAAAAAAAAAAAAAAAAGCTAAAGCACATCCAATATGTGGTTTTTCAATTTTTACATTCTATTTGCTTTTTTTTTTTATTAAAAAAAAAAAAAAAAAAAGCTAAAGCACATCCAATATGTGTTTTCATTTTTACAATTCTATTTGCTTAATTCAGGATATCCACAGCTTATGATTGGTACAGCTAGCATCTCCGAAGGTCTCTATGCAAGGACAAGTGTTAATTCCACTCCTTTAAAAGCAAATTCATTGCACAACTCTCAATGCATAGACTCCCTTTGACTACAGGTATTACAGATTGGGTCACCCATCTCTTGCTAGGCTTCATTTGCTCAAACCTTTAATTTCTGATATGTCATTTACACATTCTTTTCCTTGTGAAGTTTTTCCTTTAGCTAAGCAGAAATGTAATTCATTTCTTGTAAATCACATAAATGCCAATAATGCATTTGATTTGATCCATGCTGATATTTGGGTTCCCTTTTGTACACCATCTGTTCAAGGTCACAAATTCTTTCTTACTGTTGTAGATTATTATACAAGGCATAGTTGGATTTTCTTGTTAAAGTCTAAATCTGAGACTAGAGCAGTTTTACAATCTTTCTTCACCTTAATTGATACACAATTTCATAGTAGGATTAAAGCAATAAGAATAGATAATGGTTTGGAGTTTCACATGCCCCAATTCTATGCAGAAAAACGAGTTTTCTATAAAACTTATTGCGTGGAAACTCCACAATAGAATGGTTTGATGGAAAGAATGTATCAGCATATACTGAACATAGCCAGATCTCTCATGTTTCAATCTCACTTGCCTCTTCAATACTGGTCCTTTAGCATTTCACATGTTGTTCACCTAATAAAAAGATTACCCTCCCCTCTCATTCATAACAAAACTCCTTTTGAAATGTTATACTAGTACCCTCCATCCTTTGTTGGCCTTAGAGTGTTTGGAAGTCTATGTTATTCCTCTACTCTATCTTCTCATAGGATAAAATTTGATCCTAGAGCCAACAAATGCATTCACCTAGGCCTTAAACTTGGAACCAAAGGCTATCTGCTTTTAGTTTGACATAGTCGAGCTCTTATTGTCTCTAGAAATGCCATATCACGTGAAAATATATTTCCTTTCAAAGAATCTTCATGATTGCAGAGTTTTGATTCCCCTTCTTTACCTCAACATACCATTTCACCAAATTCTGACATTTTTTCTTATTTTTCCCTTCCCTCCTCTTCTGTTAGCATTCCTTCACATTCAAATACATCAAATCCAACTATGCCTCCCTCATTGCCTGACCCTTCCTCATCTTCATAGCCTCATGCATCTCCTACCATACCTATCCCTCCTACTATAGTCTCTCTTAGACACAGACAACCTCCTGCCTATCTTAAAGACTATCATTGCACTTTGACTTCAAATGCAGCTGAACCATTCTCCTTCAAGTAAGTAAAGTCCTCTTTCTATCGCTTCTACTTTTTCTTATTCTCACTTATCTCCTTCTTATAGAAAATTTGTTCTTGCTCTTAATGCTAATACTGAACCTCAAACTTACGATCAAGCCATAAAGTTTGGCTGTTGGAAAAAGGCTATGCAGGATGAGATTACATCACTTGAGCTAAATCACATCTGGAATATTGTTGATAAACCATTGAACAAACCTGTTGTGGGTTGTAAATGGGTGTTTAGGACTAAGTATAGAGCTAATGGGAGTGTTGAAAGGCATAAGGCTCGCCTTATGGCCAAAGGCTTCACACAAGCAGAAGGCATTGATTTCTTTAAGACATTTTCTCCTGTAGTTAAAATCACTACTGTCAGACTCTTGCTAGTACTTGTGGCCATGAATAATTGGCATCTAAATCAGCTAGATGTCAATAATGCCTTCCTCCATGGTGATCTCAATAAGGAAGTGTGCTTGTCTTTACCTAAAGCTTTTATTTGCTCTAAGCCAAATCAGGTTTGTCATTTACAAAAGTCATTATGGTCTTAGACAAGCCAGCAGGCAATGGAACTTCAAACTGACACAATTCTTGCTTTCTCTTGGGTATTCTAAGTCTCAAGCAAATTTCTCTTTGTTTGTTAAGCATTCTGCCAACTCAGCTCAAGTTTATTAGTAGATTTGTTAGGAGCAGTTTCTTTTGTTCCTAGTTCAGTTAGATTAGTTGGCATTAAATATTTTAATTTTGTTATTTATATAAGCGACGGTACTTGTACAAATCTCAACTCAATGAAAAGCATTTTTCCTATTTTTCGTTTTTGCCTTCTTTTGTTCTCTGCAACATTTTTCATTAATATATACGATAAGGAGACATTTGAAAATTTTTATTTTTATTTTTTATGTTATTCAAGAGAGAAATAAAAAAAGAAAAAAAATTATATTTTTTCATTAATATTTTTTTCTTTTTATTTGTATGATTTGATTGGATATATTTTTAAAAAATAAAGCTTCAAATAGAATATTCATAATATTTTATTTAGGAGAGAGATAAAAAAGAAAAATATATATTATATTTATTAATATATTTTCTTTATGTTTGTATATTATATTTAAATTAATATATTTTCCTTTTATGTTTGTATGATTTGATGAGTATATTTTAAAAAAAAAAAAATTCAAAAAACATAATCATCAAGCCTTTCAAAAAATTTTAAATTATATTTTATTTGTTGATGCAAATAATATTTATAAAATTTAATTTTAAATTAACCATATGATAATTAAGCATTTCAAAATTTTTTAATTAATTATCTTTTTTAAATTTATTTTTTTGATAAAATTTTATTTTTTAATAAATTTATATGACAAGGATATTTGAATTTTTTTTATATTTTATTTTTAAATAATTTGAATTTTGATTTTAATTATAATTTTTATAATTTAAAATATTTTATTTTAGAGAAAAAAAAAATGTATTCTTTTTCTTAATATTTTTTTATATTTGTATTATTTGATTGAATATATTTTTAAAAAAGTAAAGTTTCAAATAGGATATATATAATATTTTATTTAAGAGAGATAAAAAACAAAAAAAAAGTATATTATTTTTATTAATATTTTTTCTTAATGTTTGTATGATTTGATTGGGTATATTTTCTTTAAAAAAAATTCAAATAGGATACACATAGTTTAATCCTTCAAAATTTATTTTAAACAAAATGAACATATGTATATGAGATTGGCAAACAGTTTAAAATTTTAATTTTAAACCAATCAGGTGGTGATTTAGTTAGTCAGTCCTCTCGACCACGGTTGTTTTCATTAATTTGGTGGTCAAGAGAAGGCTACCCTGTTGTTATTTCGGTCATAAAAGCCTCCCATTAATTAAAAAAAATTTAATTTAAAAAAATATATAATATTTTATTGATATATTGATATTATTTATATATATGTATTAGAATTTCTTTTATTACTTGAGTTCTGGAAAGAGTTTTATCTTTAATAATAATTTTTTATTTTTTATTTCTTTTTTGTTCCTAAATAATTTGTAATTATTTTTTAAAAATATTTTTTTTTTTTACGTTTGTATGATTTGATTAGATATAATTTTAAAAAATTGCTCGCACAAAGATTACTAAATCCATCTGAGCCTTTTTTTTTTCTTCCACCTCTCCTCTCCAATCCTCGATCAAACTTGAAAGCTTCGGATAGAATATAAATAATATTTTATTTAGGAGAGAGATAAAAAAGAAAAATATATATTGTATTTATTAATATATTTTCTTTATGTTTGTATGATTTGATAGAGTATATTTTAAAAAAATCAAATAGAATATATTTAATTAAACCTTTTAAAAATTTTAAATTATATTTTATTAGTTGATTGTATATATTTATAAAACTTATTTTTTAAATAACTTAAATATTTTTTAAATAAACATATATATAATTAAGTATTTCAAAAAATTTTAATTATTATCTTTTTTTTAAAATTAATTTTAATAAATATAAATTAATTTTTAATAAATATATATGATTATGAGACATTTGAAAATTTTTATATTTTATTTTTAAATATTTGATTTGATTTTAATTATAATTTAAAATGTTTTTTCGGAGAGAAATAAAAAAAGAAAAGATATATTCTTTTTGTGAATATTCTTTTTTAATATTTGTATGATTTTATTGGATATATTTTTTAAAAAGTAAATTTTTAAATAGAATATACATAATATTTTATTTAAGAGAGATTAAAAAAATAAATTATTTTTATTAACATTTTTTCTTAATGTTTGTATGATTTGATTGAGTATATTTTTTAAAAAAAGAATTTCAAATAGGATACACGTAATTAAATCCTTCAAAATTTTTAAATTTTTATTTTTCAAAATTTATTTTAAACAAAACAAACATATCTATGTGAGATTGGCAAACAGTTTAAAATTTTAATTTTAAATAAATCAGGTGGTGGTCTAGTTGGTCAGTCCTCTCTATCACAGTTGTTTTCATTAATTTGGTGAGTTAAGAGAAAATTATTATTTCCGCCATAAATTAAGAAAATTTTTAATTTTAAAAATATATATAATATTTTATTTTTATTGATATATTTATAGTATCTATATAATATATATTAGAATTTCCTTTGTTACCGTGAAGTTTTGAATATAATATTTTATTGATATATTTATAGTATCTATATATATATATTAGAATTTCCTTTGTTACGTGAGTTTTGAAAAAAGTTTTATCCTTAATAATAATTTTTTTATTTTTTATTTTTCTTCATTCCTAAATAATTTGTAATTATTATCATTTTAATTTAATAAGAGATTTATATCTCCATTGTAAAAAATGATGGCCTCTTGATGATTAAGGATTTTTAATTTTCTTGATATTTTTTTCTCTTATATCATAAATCCGTTTAACTTGAAAGAAAATAGTGATTATGAAACTGAAAAAAGATTGAAACGATATATTTCTATTTTGGATCACTTTTTGGTGTTTCAAGAATTTGTGTGTATGTGCATAAATTCCTTTCTCGAATACTAATATTGCTACCGTATCGAAAATGATTTCCATTATCAATTCAGTTTAAGACCACTACATTCTATAAAAATAAAATTAAGTATATAAATAGTAACATTACAAATAGTTTGTATGACGAAATCAAATACAAATTAACGAATTGTATTTATTTTAATCTAAACAAAAACTTACACTTTAATATTATATAGATAAAAAAATTAAAAGAGTATAAAAATGAATATATAACAAGCATAGTCAACATGCAACGGACGTCATAAAAAATAGTTAAAATTAAAAATATGTAAGTGAGTTTTAATAGCCCAATGTTCCTCATTCATACTTTTATACGTAGTAAGTATAGATAGATTACAAATAATTGTTAATAACATACATCGTTGACAGTATATTATAGTTTATAACAAAAAAGTAATAAAAAATTATGTATAAAAATTAAATTATATTTACTGTAAAAATAACAAATACAAAATAAAATAAAAAAATAAAGAACATACGAAATCAACATTTTTTCTAATATTTCCACAAAATGAAAATAACAAGAAATTAAGAAATATATAAAAAGTAGAAACTGGGAAGACGCAAAGAATGTTGGGTTGGTTTGGTGGTAAACTTGGTTTGGTGGTAAACTTGGTGGTAAACTTGGTACAAGTCTCATTACATTTGAATTGAATGTTTGGTTTGGTGGTAAACTTCGGCCAGGGCAATCGCCAGAGCCATGGCCCATGGTGATACGGTGATCGGCTGATCGCTAGTAAGACAGGAAAAATTGAAGGTGAATCGCAAGTGGGAGCATCCGCTTCAGCCTGTAGTGTTTGGCTTGACTTTGCCGTCCGAATCCTATACCCATAATAGCACTTACAATCATTTTTTTTAAAAAAAAGAAAGACATCGTCCGTCTCTGTCACTATTAAAAAACGACGCCTCAGCTATTTTGGTTGCGGAAGTTGTGTGTTTCTCCTTGTCAAATTGTTACTGTCTCCTCTCTCCGTCGTCTCTGTTTTTTCAGTCAAATTGATTTGATTTGATTTGATTGGAGAGAAAGTGCAGTGATGAAGAGGAACAGAAATGGAGAAATCTGGGACTTCGAGCATGAAATTGCTGTGGCGGGTAACAGGCAGGTTATTCTAGGAGTGGATGGTGGAACTACATCAACTGTCTGTATATGCATGCCAATCTTACCTTTCTCCAATCCTCTTCCTGACCCTCTTCCTGTCCTTGCCCGTGCCGTCGCCGGTTGCTCCAACCACAATAGTGTTGGTGGTTAGTATGTTTTCTTCAATTTCACTTGCAGTTTTAATTTGAATGTGGCATTTTATCGAATTTAGGATTTTATTTTGCTGATAATAAGATGGGGAAACAGCTTAAATTGTTTTTGTTCACAGAACAATGGCCACATTATATGCTCAGTTATAGAGGCAGGAATATGTTTTTTGTATTTGCCATGTTACAGAAACCGCTGCTAGAGAGACATTGGAGCAAGTTATGGCAGATGCCCTTTCGAAATCGGGTTTCAATCGCTCCGCAGTTCAAGCTGTTTGTCTAGCAGTTTCAGGTGTCAACCACCCAACTGATGAGCAAAGAATTTTAGATTGGCTTAGGTTTGCCTTCTAATACTGATAGTCACCGCAATGTTTTCGACATACTTATTTACAGCACACACAAATGAGGACATCTTTGAACTTCGATATATTGATTTCTATATTCTTAGGCTTTTCATTTGTGTGATGATGCTTTAGTAGCCCTCACAAAAATCCTAGATGCTAAAGATGAAGATAAAGAAAATTATATAGTTGTAAGTTGTAAAAATAAGAGGATTTAGAACTAGGACCAAGTTTTAGGACTACAAATGTAGTATCTCGAAGACTTTCAACAGCTGTTGCTAGCATATGCAGCTCGCATCAGACATTTCTTTTGGTCCTAGTTTTAAATCTTTTTCCTTTTACAACTTACAACCAAGTTCTAAAACTTTCAGCATTCCTGGTCTTTTTAGTCCTATTGGTTAACTTAATACAAGATTCCATTAGTTAACAGCAAAGGTACTTTTTAAAATTTACATTTTCATTTCACTCTGTTTCCTTTTCAATTTGCAGAAAGAAAAACTTTAAATTCCCCTGAGGTCATATAAGAGGATAAGAAATTTCAATTTAACAAACAACAATACGAAATATTCCTTCATCAATTCAAAATATTTCAACTTTCTTTTATCTTCAATTATATTTGGGTCTCAAATTTTTACTTAAATTTAACTCAACTATGTAAGACATGATAAAGTTTATATCATTATTATGTTTTAAGCAGAATTCATCACATGATGAATTTGAGATTAAATTTTAACATGTAAATTTGAGTAGTAATTTCAATAAATCAAGATTTCTAACTTAAAATCTAGATAAAAATTGGAGATTCAGATAATTAAAAAAGTTATTTAGGCTAGTGGCTTGTCATCAAGCATATATCTTATAGTGATGAGGGTCAGGATTTCTTGTTTAAAGATTTTCAATGTACATAAAAAAAAAAAGAAAAAAAGAGAAGGCAATTCAAGGAACAATTCTTGAGTATTTTGATTTTGTTGTTGACAAATATATTTTCATGTGCAAGCTTTTAATCATTGCTTGTCGATTAGATATCTTCTTTATATGCATTTGTTGTGAACTACTGATTTTTTTTTTTCTTTTTTTCAAATTGAAGAGGGGAAGTTATAAAATATTGGACTTGACTGCAGCTTTTTGAAGTTTTGGGATTCAAATGAAAAATTATAAATATTTAGCATGACTATCGAAAAACTAAAATTTTTAGAACTTGATTTTAAAAACAAAAGGATTTAGGCTTAACTGCACTAAGTGATAAAGTTTTAGGATTGCAAATGTATTTCCAAACTCTTAACATCAAACTCCAACCAGATAGACCAAACTATCAATGTCTACGACTGCAACAAAAAGATAATGGAAAAAGGCCAATATTTTGTGCAAGCCAATTATACAGTTAGCACAAAGGAAAAGTGCATGCAAAAAGACAATGAAGAAAAAAAAAAAAAGAGAGAACTATTGTTCTTGAAATTGTGAAAGTACACTGGACATGATATATAGTATTCATATAATCTTCTCTCTTCCAACAGATTGTAAGTCTTGATCCTAGCTGCCCTCACACAAAATACATTAACTCTGCAAATATGGTTAGCTGAAGAAAAATGTTAGAATTAGGAACTTGAACAAAAAGGTTGTGAAAGAGACTTGCAGGAAAGGGTCCCTAAAACAACGTGGAAACCAAAAATCAAACAAATGATGCCCATGATTCTTGCAACTGTGAAAATTTGCTGGGCGGGATGAGTTATGTTGTCTACACAGTTGAAAATAAATATGTTTTCCAGATGTGGCGTATCATCCAAAAATCAATCAGAATGACAACCTTGAATGACATGAAAGAAGAGGTTTCTGGAATCTTTGAAATCTGCTTTTCTTTTTCCTACTGTATTTTTATGTTTTTGTAGTCCCCATAGATTTCTTGTTACTTCAATAAATTCATTTCTTGAATCTGCTTTATCTTGTTTATGTAGGGATATATTCCCCACTCATGTGAAGTTATACGTTCAAAATGATGCCGTGGCAGCTTTGGCAAGTGGAACAATGGGAAAGCTTCATGGCTGTGTTTTAATTGCTGGTACAGGGACTATTGCTTATGGATTTACTGAAGATGGCAGGGAAGCTCGGGCTGCAGGTGCAGGACCCATCTTAGGTGATTGGGGGAGGTGAAATTCTAAGAGTTCTGTATTTTGTTTTCTACTGTACCTCTCTTTCTCTCTCATCTCCAAGTGATGCCATAACATAATTTTATGCTAAGCATGGAAAAAAAAAAAAGATTTAGTAAGGTGCTTGCATTAAATGCGTTGATTTCTTGGAAGGTTTGCCTAGATTCCAAATCCAGTGTAGAAACTAGTTAAATGCATGCATTAGTCCATCAGATTAAACTCAAACCTAAAGGTACTAGGCAGAGCATGAATATCAGCTGAATCATAATGAATCAGTTGATCCCTGTTGGAAAAATCAGATGCCAATTCAGTTCACCCACGATGCGATGCAACTATTTTGTCATCACAGGGGAATTGGCTTGGAATGACCAGTACAGCTTGATGTTGGTTGATAATGGCTGTGGTAGCTGAATGGCTGGACAGAGGAGTTCAGTTAGAATGGATGGGAGAGAGAGAGAGAAAGGGAAGAGGGTTTGGGGGGGGGGGGGGGGGGGGGGGGAATTGCTTGGAATGACCAGTACAAGGCTTGATTGTTGGTTGAATAATGGCTGTGGTAGCTGAATGGCCTGGACAGAGTAGGTGTTCAGTATAGAATGGATGGGAGAGAGAGAGAGAAAGGGAAAGAGGGTTTGGGCGGGGGGGGGGGGGGGGGGGTTCTCCTCCCTCTCTTTTTGTTTTTTTTTTTTTTTTTTGCTGTTTTTTTTTTCCCTTTGGGAACTCTAATAAAATGGGTTTCTAATGTTTCAAAACCATGATGCATAATGTAATTTCGATCCTAATTGTTTAAAGATACACCTTTTTCCTGTATTTGTAATTTGTCCAATCCTTCAAAGTCTTAAAATCTGAGCTTAATTTGATAAAGTAGTTGCAATTATCTCCAACAAATAAAAATTGAAAAAAAGAAGATATTTTACTTCTGATTTACAGCTTTATAATATTTTATGTTTCTATGTTTCCTTCCTTCCCTTCTCATTCCTCTTCCTCCCTCTAGCTTCTGTCTCAAACAACAACTACCCTTTGTCTCCATGTACCATCACCAACCACTAGCAATCCACCACCTGTCTATAAACCATATCTTGGTTCACCACCTGACACTCATCACCAAACATATCCCATTACGGTGAAAACATCAATCTATCCATAAACAAAAATTCAAAATTTTCAGTAGTCAAATAAATGGTGTGGATTAGCAGGCTAACTAACTTGCAGTTGGATAATGGTATTACTGCCTCTAATAACAATTGCAAATGCAAGGATACAAGCGGAGAAAGAGTTGCTAACAGTGGCTAAGCCTTTCCTAAGTGTCAATAGAGAGGCAGGTATAGATGCACCCGGAACCAAGCAGAGTTCCATTACATTGAGGGCCACCACCACTACTGCAGCTTGATTTATGGAAGTATTAAACATATTAACTTTGCAGAAAGTGCTCTTCAACCTGCAAAAAAATGTGTGCACCCTTTTCTTCTGTTGACTTTTCCGTCCTAAGGACTGCTTGGGTAAACCAATGCATTAATGGTTGGTAAATTACCTACTACAACCTTTCTGCTCATCTAGTTCTCAATTAAACTTGTTAGTTTCACTGATTATGGGGTGTATTCTTACTCTGAACTTCTTTTCAATTATTTCCCTTTGGGTTAAGGATCAAGTTGTCCTTGTGATCTGCAAAGACTATTTAAGAAGAAACTCGATGCTCTTCTATGTTAGGATGAATTGCTTTATTTATTTCTCCACACACACACACACACACACGCACACACACTCACACACACACACATATATATATAATATATTATCAAATAAATTTCTATCTGACAGGTTTTGTTTACTTGCAGTGGATATGGAATAGCTGCACAAGCATTAGCAGCAGTTATTAGGGCTCATGATGGTCGTGGTCCTCAAACACTTCTTACATCCAGTATTTTACATGCTCTTGGTCTTTGTTCTCCTGATGAACTTATTGGGTATGTATTCGAAGACATATCAGTATTTTCATGCTTGTTTTGGCAGTTACTAGTTTTTATAATTTGAAATTGTTCTGAAGATCTTCAGTAAATTTGGAGGAGAATTAATAAACATAACTTCTTGTTTTCATTACTCTTAACCTTATTTCTTTAAGCAAATTCCTTAAGAGTGTTGTGCCTCAAGGTGCAAACAGATGTTTTGAAAACTTAGTTCTTTGCATTGAATTGCCTTTTTTTAGTTGTACCTCTCTGTCCCACAAAGATATGTTTGTCTCTATTTCACACATTAAGGCTTTGTTTATTTCTGTAAAATAACTTGCAGGAAAATATTTTCTACAATTTTCCATTGTTTGGGGGCGTTTAGGAAAATAAGTCAACGGAAAATATTTTACTGGTCAAAGGAAAATTAAGTTATTTGTAAGGAAAATGACTTTCCATTTTCAAGAACGTAAAAAATTTTCTGGATTTTGACAAACTTATTGTAACCTTATAAATCAATATTTTGTTAATTTATTAATCATTGGTAGCCACTACTACTACTCATCGTTCACCACCACTGGCCACCATCAACCCCCACCATCGGCTACCAATGCCAGTCACAGTCAATGGCAACTTTCATAATTTACTTTTTTTTTTTTTTTTTTTTTTTTTTCCACTGGCCCCATCAACCCCCACCATCGCTACCAATGTGCCAGTCACAGTCAATGGCACTTTCATAATTTACTTTTTTTTTTTTTTTTTTTTTTTTTTTTGCAATTTTCTCATATTTAACAATAAATTTTTTAAAATAATGAATTTTATCTTATTAGTATTTTTATTTTTTATGGTCCTTATGAGTTAAAATTTTTTAATATTTTTTAACTAATTTTTCCAATTGCAAACAAAAACAATAGAAAATAAGTCATTTGAACAATTTTTTCAAGGAAAACATTTTCCTTACGAAAATATTTTTTCAAAATGTAAATTATTTTCCCTGATGAGTTAAAATTTTTAATATTTTTAACTAATTTTCAAATTGCAACAAAACAATAGAAAATAAGTCATTTGAAAAATATTTTCAAGGAAAACATTTTCCTTAGAAAATATTTTTCAAATGTAAATTATTTTCTGGAAACAAATGGAGGCTAAGAAAAATTAATTAATATGGTTTAAACAATCAGTTTTACCTGCACTTCTCCTAATATACACTTATATTGATATTAAATGTCACTTCCAATAAAGAATTGAATGGAAAACTTGTTGATAACGAGACATATTAAGTATGGGTATTTACAGAATTAAAATTTGTTGTACCTTTAAAAAGGAAAGGTGACCTATAAGTTGGAAAAAGTAAAAAAGGAAAGCAAGCCTACCTTTGTGGGATGAAGGGAGTATTATTTTTGATTACATACTCGCACCCTTATAGAGACAATTATATTGTCCATTGTATTTCTTGGATTGATTTTGCGAAAAACTTGACAAATTGAAGCCTCCATTTTTTTTAAGACCTTTATAATGTAATTGATGATACATAAATTGTCTCCAAATATGTTTTCTAGACTTGCCAGAGAAAAGTTGCAAATTTTCTTACTTGATTTGTTGCAACTCTGAACTTGTAGTTCACATGGTACTTCATAAATAAAATATCAGTTATTGAATGAGGTATTTAGTTTTACCTTTTGGAAATATAGGTGGACATATGCAGATCCATCTTGGGCTCGTATTGCAGCTCTTGTTCCAGTTATTGTATCTTGTGCAGAGGCAGGTGACGAAGAAGCAAATCGGATCTTGCAATATTCGGTTGAAGAGTTGGCTTTAAGTGTGAAAGCTGTTGTTCAACGACTGGGCTTATGTGGCATAGGTATGGGAATCCATACGAAACTAGCATGGAAATTTATTCTTTTTTGGCACCATGAAGTAGGTATAGAAGGTTTCAATTGGCCTGTTGATCGCAAGAATCTCCTGAATTATTCTGTCTCTTATGGACATTTTTTTTGGAGTAATATATCAGTATTATATAAAACACAATAGTGGAATTTGAGTTATCACAAAGGGCAGAAGTAATAATTGCCACATTGTTCAGCATAACAGCCCTAACATCCTTCAGTATAATGTAGTAGGTTGGATGGTATTTAATGAAAGGAAAGTCTCATTCAGGTTAGCTAATTAATTCAAGATTTCTGTTGTATATATTGAAAGTTTAATAATGTGAATTCACATGGCGCTTTAACTTTCTTTTAGGATACCCTTGAGGTTTGAACTAATGTATACTTTCATTTATTGACTCAACACATTAATCCTTGATCTATAAGTGTGAATTTCTTGTTACATTTTTTGCATTTAATTTACTACTTGAATATTAAAATTTGATTGCACTTTTGATCCTGAATTGTTATATCATTAAACACTTTAGTCATCTTATATTTTGTACTAGTGTTCGTATATGGACTACAAGTATTTTTTTTTCAAATTTTAAAATATTAAATCTTGGGAACTTACTCTCCTCTCTCTCTCTCTCTCTCTCTCTCTCTCTCTCTTTTTTTTAAATTTATTTTTAATTTCGAGTACTTTTTGGCCCTGCCAATCTAATTGATTACTAGTAGTAATAAATTATTCTATTTTAGATGGACTGTGTACATGGCTTTTGCATGTTTTTGAATGCTGCTAATGTAAAGTGATAAAATATTGTATTCCTTTTGTCCACAAATAGTCGTCCATATTGCTTTTGGCATGGAGAATTAGGAAAGTCCTTTGAAAGAAGTATATGTTTTGCATCTATCAAATTTACCCACATTAATTATTTAAGAGTGTGGCACGAAAATTAATAAGAGTCATTTAGAACATATTATTGACAGAACAACCTTATAACTTACTGACTTTTAACATGGAAAATAAAGTGGACATCTTGAAAAGGAAATAAGGATTATTATTTGTGGAAGGAGGGAGTATTAATGATTAAAATTCATATGTGCTTGAAATCTATTATGGATAACTAATTGGTCTTATTGTAGTTCTACTGTATTTTGGTCCATGGTTGCAGATGGAAATGCTTCATTTCCCCTTGTCATGGTCGGTGGTGTTCTTGAAGCAAATAAGAGGTGGGATATAGGGAAAGAGGTAGTAAACTGCATCTCCAGGGACTATCCTGGGGCTCTTCTGATTCGACCCAAGGTAACCATAATTTACTTTGTTCCAATTACAAGTTTCCGATTGTGTAAATTCTCTGGTTTAGTCTTTTGTTTGAGTGAGTTTAGTGAAATTTATTGCTTGAAACCTGCCTGTGGGCATCAGCTGTAGAAAAAGAATTATAAGATCATATAAAACAAATAGAACTGCAAGTCTGCAACAAATAGGAGTTGGGAAAATATTAAATACTTGTAATCTTTATTACATATGTGTTACTAAGAAAGTTTAAACGCAAGGAATCAAACGAGGGAAAAAGGGAGTAAAAGAGTTGGCATGGAATAACCTATTTAGAAGTTATTATGGCTTCTCATCATGTCATCTGATGAGTTTATATCAGATTTCTCATAAATGATGAAGCTAGATGTACTATTGGAATCCAACCACGACAAGTGAACCTGATGGAGTCTGAATGTTTATCTTCTTATTAGCAAAATTATTACCATTTTTAAGAAAAGTTGAAATCCTATAAATTTTTTGTTCAATTTATTACACAAAAGAATGTGGTCCTAAATCAAGCATGATGGACTAAAATGGTCCCCTTGGCTGATTTCAACTAGATTGAGATTGAGATTGAGTTTGAATTTGAGTTGAATATAGCAAAGATGACTGCATTCGAGGAAACAATATGGACCCTTGGAAGTACTTTTACACGAGGAAAAAATATGGTCCTGCTCCTCTTGATATCAAGCAAAAGCTTTAGAGAGGAAGACATATTTGTTTTATTTTTTATTTTCTCCTAATTTAATTTTAAAGGGGCCATTTTCGAGGAAGTGAATGTGTACTTTTTTTTTTTAATAATTTCATACGTGGCATTAGTTTATAACACTCAACAAATTGGTACTAACTATAGGCCTTTCTTTCCTTTAGTTTATATGAGAACTCGCTCCGGTTAATTATCATAAATACCATACTTGTAAATATAATTTTAAAGTTATGTCAAAATAATGGAATAGAGGACTGTACAATAAAAATCTATGTTAAAATTTGAGATAAATATTATTTATTAACTAATGTAATTTTGAATAAAATTTTGTTAGATACTTGATTTTTTTTAAAGAAAGTATTTCTGATAACATCAGTTCACATTTCTTGACTTTGTTCATGATAATTCTAAATGCTAGAGAACATTATGAATTCTATTAGTTTAGGTGTTGCTACACATTTATAAATCTGTGCATCACCCATTCTTTATCCTAACACTTTTACATTTTGCGCCTCCATATTAACTTGCACTAATTAGAGTTTCAATAAAGATTGCTAGATATATAATGAGTTCATTAATATATATATATATATATATATATATATATATATATATATATATTATATAATTATATTATGTGGACAGATGACCTGTTGCTATGCTGTGGTTAAATAAATTTAGTTTAAATAATAATTGCTTAAAAAATCATATAATTCGTTTGTTTTTTAAAATTAAAGCTAAAAATATATATATGTGGACAGATTGACCTGTGCTATGCTGTGGTTAAATAAATTTAGTTTTAAATAATAATTGCTAAAAAATCATATAATTCGTTTGTTTTTTAATTAAAGCTTAAAAATAAGTGATATCATTTTATAATTATAAATTTCAATATGATTAGTTAAGCTTTAATTATTTTTTGATCTCCCATGTTCTTTATTTCTATACATGGTAGAATATCTGCCTCTGCCTTTGTGCTTTCATATGTCAATGCTTATCCCTTAATTGGGATACTATATTTTTTAGTGATGTATTAAAATTTCTATTTTTTCGTTTACTTATGGTAAATCAGGTAGAGCCTGCAGTGGGGGCAGCATTATCAGGCTGGAATTTCCTCATGAAGGAAACTAATAGGGAAGGCTGCAAAGAATGACAATTAGTTACCAAAGAATTCAATTGTATAGAAGAAAGTGCATAAATTGGCAGGTACTATATATTAGTGTAGGTTGATTTTTTTTGTTAAAATATTTCCGTTGTCAGTTCAGTATTGTATTGGCTTCTTATTTAAATGGAAAAAAAAAAATCATTTGATTATATACACACACCCACACAATTTGGAAGCCTCAGTTTGTGCTGGCTGCGGCACATGATATGTTGTCACTGGTTACTGGTTGATATGAATATAGAGGTTATTTTGGATTGGACTGGTTTGCGTACGGTTTTTGGGTGGTATCATAAATTGCCTTTTTCTATCTATCAACACATTGCTCTGCTATAGCGTAAACTGATTCAATGTGCTCGTGATGTATGCATGAGACTTAGATCATTATACTTTGTTTGATACTAATTGTGTACACGAGAATTGCCTATAAATCCATTATCTGTTTTTGCCCTCTCGTAGTTATTAGAAGTTGAAAGGATAGAGGTGAATTGAGTAAGATGTTAGAATCCATGAGGTGAAGATGTATGATGTGGGCTTACTTGGGCTTGGACCAGCCAATGCTGAAAGGTTAGTACTAACCAATTAATTAGCTAGCTTGCTACCCTTATATGCCCTTTTCTTTTGCAGTAATATGTTCTTGTATCCCTTAGGTTTTCAATTTTTTTTTAGTCATGGGTACCTATTGAGATGATGAGAACTAGTGATTGCACCCAAAGGGGCTATATGTTTTAGGAAATATTTTTCGAACTGTGTCTGAAGGTTAAATTATTCCAAGTGTTTCAAATACTTTTTGTAGAGAATCACTCAAGGAATTAAGGTAATCAATAACAGAATTTGATGATCCTATTATCAAATACTTGCGTACACTGTGATCAAGATGAAAGCAATCAGAGTGAAAGCAACTATTGTAGTCATTTTTTATTATAGCTTGAGTTGCTAATAGGTCTCTAAACCAAAGATAGGATTGCAGGTCCAATATTGCTTAAGAAAAGAAATTCCTCAATTATTCATACTAAGGTTCGAGTCACGGATGATGTTTTTGTCACTCAATATTTCGGAGTTTTGATAGGTATATTCATTTTCATTCTGTAGTCATGGAGTTCTTTCGCGATCTCTTCTACAAAGTGCTACTCCCACGTGCATTCTTCCAAGCCTCAATTGTTTCTAGCTTGAATTTCAAATTATCAACCTTACCCACTAGCCTCAAAAATCATTTGTTTGCTTACTGACTTCGATTTTGAAAAGTTATTCTGTTAGAGTTAAGAATGCATCAATCCAATCACAGAAAGAGCTATAAAAGGAATAAGAACAAATAGAAGAAGGATAGGAGGGACTTGTATTGATTATATATCTGTGATTGCAATTTCTGTATCTAGTATTTGGATTGAAGAAACAAAAGAATAAAAGAGCCAAACAATCAAGAAAGGATAATGGTTGCAAGCAACCCCTAGGAATAAACCTGTAGCAAAATACCTTGCTACAATACACTGAAGATTCCAAAAGATGCCCCCCAACTCTTGCCAGCAACCTCTATATAATCTCTTTCCATAACTAACTATGCTGACCTGGCAGTCTACCTTGATCTCCAATCTTCATAGTCCTATTCCCATTATTATCCCCCGTTTTTTTAATTCTCCTTGAGTACACCTTATAGGGCCTTGGGCCATGATCCACAGCTCTACTATTACTTCCCTCTGAGAGAGCAGCCTTGTCCTCAAGGCTGAATTCAGGAAATTGGCCCAACAGATCAGATTCATCAATCCAAGTTACTTCCTCTTCTATTTGACCTTGCCACTGTATAAGGAATTGTTTGACAGGTTGCTGATCTTTGATTATAGTACGACATTGGCAGATTTTGGCCGACTGAAGTAAGCCATCTTCTGGGCATTCAAAAGTAGTAGGCAGAGTGTCAACCATAGGATGAGCACCAACAACTTTCATAAGTCGGGAGACATGGAAGACAGGGTTAGTGTTCGCATTCGAGGGAAGCTTCGATTTATAAGCTACAACTCCTGTTTTCCCGATAATCTCAAATGGCCTGTAAAATCTGGTAGCCAATTTGGCATTAATTTTGGTAGAGACAGGGTGTTGGTGGTAGGATTGGAGCTTGAGGAAACTTTGTCACCAATGGAGTAAGTGACATCTCTACGATTCTTGCATCATCAGTCATCTTTGTCTTGGAGATTTTGAGATAAAGCTGCCACTCTAGATTCTCCGGGCAGGTATTGTTGAAGGGTAGGCAGTTTACGGCCATATACAACCTCAAAAGGAGTTTGGGCGGATGGCACCCTGGCAGTTAGAATTATACCAATCTCGCCCAACACAACCATTTAGATCAGGATTTAGTCTGTTCTAAGGAGAAATACCGCAAATAAGATTCCAAGCTTCGGTTTAGAACTTCCGTTTCACCGTCCGTTTGAGGATGGTAAGACGAATTGAATTTGAGTTGAGTCCCTTGAAGACAAAATAATTCAGTCCAAAAGTTGCTCTAAGAATAAAGTATCTCTATCACTAACCATGTTGCTTGGAATGCCATGAAGTCGGATAATTTCACGATAAACACTTCAGCCACTGTAGCAGCTGTGAAGGCGTGCCAAAGGGAAATAAAATGGGCATACTTTGAAAGGCAATCAACAACAAGAATACAGTCAACACCAAATGATCTTGGAAGACCAGTGATAAAGTCAAGTGCAATATCCTCCCATAACTGATGTGGAATCGGCAGGGGTTCAACAGAGCAGCCAGAGATTGTGCCTCATATTTATTTTTTTGGCAAATGATACAGGAAGCCACAAAACTTTTGATCATGGTCATCATGCCTTTCCAGAAAAAATTGGAAGCCAATCTGCGATAAGTGCGATACGCACCAGAGTGCCCTCCTTGAGCAGTAGAATGGAACTTGGCTAAGATCTTGGGTATCCAGCCAGAAGAAGAAGGTAGGACTAACCTACCTTTGTAGAAAAGATGGCCATGGATCAAAGAGTAGTGAGCAGGAGCAGAATTTTTTGCCGATAAAGTAGAAATAATTTGAGAGAGGTGCTGGTGCTGCTGAATTTCTGCATTAATTTGATCCCAATTGACCTATTGAGGGCCAGAAATAGCCTGAAGACGCGATCCTCATCCTTGCGAGATAAGGCATCAACGACCTTATTAGTCTTGCCAGGACAATATTCAATAGCAAAGTCATAACCCAATAATTTGGTAGACCAATATTGTTGAGCTGGTGTGGACACTTCTTGATGAAGGAGATGGCGAAGGCTTCGCTAATCAGTACGGATTGTAAATTGTCGCCTTATCAAATATGGGCACCAATGTCGGATTGCTAATACCACTACCATTAACTCATTTTCATAGGCATTTCGTGCCGTGGCTTGATTATTGGTAGCCTTACTAAAATAGGCAATGGGTCGATCTTTTTGCATTAATACAGCTCCAACTTTGGATTTCGATGCGTCAGTTTCAACTATGAAAGATTGAGAAAAATCGGGCATAGCCAGGACAGGACAGGAGAGGAACTAATGGCACGTTTCAGCATGTCAAAGGAATTTTGAGCTTGAGAGTTCCATGAAATTTATCCATGGCTTGTTTTTTAGTAATTGAGTTAAAGGCTGGGCTATGAGGCCATAATCAAGAATAAAACGACAATAATACTCGGTTAGGCCCAGAAATCCATGAACAGCCTTTACAGATTTAGGAGTAGGCTAATTGAGAATACTAGTAATTTTAGAGGGCTCCATGGAGACGCTAGTGGCGGAGATGATGTGATCGAGATATTCAACAGATACTTGCTCAAAGAGCATTTCTTACCATTCAAATGTAGTGAATGACTATGAAGAAGCTGAAATACAATTGTCAAGTAGATATTCAACAGATACTTGCTCAAAGAGCATTTCTTACCATTCAAATGTAGTGAATGACTATGAAGAAGCTGAAATACAATTGTCAAGTGATGGATATGATCTGCCTATGATTTGCTGTATACTAAAATATCGTCGAAGAAGACGAGTACAAACTTGCTTAAGTGAGGGCAAAAAACATCATTCATTACACCCTGAAACGTCACTGGAGCATTGGTCAGCCCGAATGCCCGAAGGGCATGACAAGAAACTCGTAATAACCCGAGTGTTTTTGAAAAGTTGTTGTGAGTGTCAGAAGGAGCCACCCTAATTTGATAAAACCCTCGTTTCATATCCAATTTAGAAAAATAGCAAGCCCCATGCAATTCATCTAGCAACTCCTGAATAATAGGGATAGGATACTTGTGGGGAACTGTTGCTCTGTTAAGTTGGTGATAATCGACGCAGAAACGCCAATTGCCATCCTTATTTTTAACTAGTAGACAGTATTGGAAAAAGGGCTTGAACTAGGCTTGATAACACCAGCAAATAACATATCTTTAACCAATCTTTCGATCTCATCTTTCTGTAAGTGGCCATATCTATAAGGTTTTGCAGAAACCGAACCATGGCCTGACTGAAGTATAATTCGATGATCTTGAGAACGATGTGGGGGAAGGGCGAGACATATCTTGAAACACTTGCTTAAATTGATCGATTAATTGCTGCAATTGCTGAGATTGAGCAGGAGAGATTGAATTATCATTGGAAATAACAACCTAGGAGGCCAGCCATAACAAGGCAGAGAAATCCAAGTCTTGGAGCTTAGTAATAGACTTTAGAGAAACTGGCGAGCGAGATAAAGAAGGATCCCTTGTAAGTTTAATAAGCTCACCATTGTAGAGGAATTTCATAGTCATTTTCTGCCAATCAAATCACACCTCGCCCAATGTCTCTAGCCACGCCACTCCCAAAATAGCATTTATTCTGCTCAAGGGAACGACATAAAAATCTCCAGTAACCACAAGAGAACCCAAGGTGAGTTTCAAGTGTCGGTAAGCTCCAGTAGATTGGAGCCGATGACTATCGGCCAATCTGACAAAAAATGGAGAAGTGGAATGACCTCAGGATTCAGGAGTTGAACCAAATGTGAAGATATGAAATTGTGACTAGCCCCGTTATCCACCATAACAGATAATGCTTGGACAGATATGACCCATGAGGTTCATGGTACGTGGTTGAGATATACCACCCACAGAATAAAGAGGAAGATCCATGTAGGAGCAATGTGCTTCATCCAAGTCAGAAGGCAGAGAATTAGGGGGTTTTGATTCTAGTTCTTGCAGAAAATCCTCTTCAGTTAAGAGATTGTCTTCACCGCTGATTAGAGCTCGTAGCGACTTATTTAGGCATTCATGGAGAGGAGTTTATGGCTGTTTGTAGTGAAAACACGGGCCCTTTGCTCACAATTTTTGATTATCAGAATGGGAATAATGGCGGACACCGCGATATCTGGTGTTAGGGATGTTGGATTTAAGGGGAGGAGCAAGGAGAGAGAGAGGTCTAGATTTTGGGGATTGGGTCTATGTGTAATCTGATGGGTGGTTAGGGGTGGAGATGTGGGTGTCGGGGCGGGTTGGTGTTTGGGTATGGGTTTGGAGGCGGGTAAGTTGTTAGGTTGGTTGTTTAGGGCCTAGACCGAAATGCGGCGCATAAGAAATGTTGCCAGAATTAGAAGGAGAAAAAAATTTATAAGTAGCGGTGGTTGGAGAAACAGTTTGTAAAAGCTCCTTTTCGATTTCGCGAGCGACTTTCATAGCCTGATACAAGTCAGCGGTATCAGATGACCGCATTCGAACTCTACTGCCTTCCTTGATGCCATTTAAGAAATACCCTAGAAGTTGAGGTTCAGACAGATCTTGTGTTTGGGCTATGCAAGAAACAAAATCATCAATGAAGTCTTAAGACAATACTGAGCTGTTTGGTAGCTGCTAAATGTTCATAAGGATTAGAGAACTCGCTAGCAGCGGAGGAGTTTCGATTTGAGTTGAAACCAACCCATACTAGGAGGACGGAGGCGCAACCATCTAAGCCAGTGGAGAGGAGCACTCTCCATACAAAATAAAACCATGGAAACTTGAGAAACATGTGGTATATTGTGATGCTCAAAAATTTTTTTCTGCCTTAGCTATCCACCCAATCGGGTCTAAACTATTGAAAGAGGCATATCAAGTTTTTTGGCATGGAAAGCTGTATCCTGGGCAAACAACATTTTGATGGGTGTGGAGTGGTTGAGAAGAACCTTCTGAGATACCATGTGGAGGTGGCTCGAGGGGTAGCATCAGTGAGAATGATGGATGATTTGCCCTTAGCCATATTCTGAACTATGGTTTTGATATCTGCATGGTCTGCTTGAATGGTGATGAGAGATTCCTCAAGAGAGGCTACACTCTTCTCTAACGTCTCTACTCTGGTTTCCATTTTGGCCTTTGGCATCTGGCAGGTCGGACCAAATTGTTAGAGTTAAAAATGCAGCAATCCAATCACAAAAAGAGCTATAAAAGGAATAAGAACAAATAGAAGAAGAATAGGAGGGACTTGTATTGATTATATATTATTGATTACAATTTCTGTATTTAGTATTTGGATTGAAGAAACAAAAGAGCAAGGAACAAAAGAACAAAAGAGGCAAACAATCGAGAAAGGATAATGGTTGCAAGCCCGTAGCAGAATACCCTGCTGCAATATGCTGAAGATTCCAAAAGATGCGCCCCCCCCCCCCCCCCCCAAAGATGCGCCAACCCCCCCCCCCCCCCCCCTTGCCAGCAATCTCTATGTAATATCTTTCCATAACTAACTATGCTAACCTGACAGTCTGCCTTGGATCTCCAATCTTCATAGTGCCTTGGATCTCCAATCTTCATAGTGTTATTTCCATTATTATCCTTTGTTCTTTTAATTCTCCATGAGTACACCTTATAGGGCCTTGGGCCATTATCCACTACTCTATCATATTTCCTTTGTGATGGGAATATCATTGTACCAAATAGTAACGAAATAACCTATCATGCTATTATCCGTAAATGACATAATTTTTTGAATATATAACATTCTCTGGAGCAAGTTTAACATATTCAATTTTAAGTGTCTTATTAATAATTTTATTTTCCTCGTGTTTTCCATTTGAATTTTGAATATTGGTTTTTATTTTTTTAGATTCTAAGTTGTCTTGTCGCAACATGATGGAGATGGCATATCTTGCGACACATTTATAGGCCTAATGCATAAATTTATTTCTGGACTTTACGCTATTTGTCTCGTGGCACTCTAAAGTTTAGAAGGACCTATCATGACCCTATACTTTCAAATTTCAGTAACAACTATATTTTTCTTCCAAATGAAATAACTTTATAAGAGTTTAATTATGACCTTGTAGTTTTACATTTTATATAGGCGAGTGGCATAGTTATTGAAATGTGCAAGTAAATAGATTTCTTCCAAATTTGGAAGTGTTATAAGGCAAATCATATAAACTTTAAAGGTATGTATATATGCTCTTAACTTATAAATTTGCTTTTGTACTTTTAAGACTAAGTTTGATTGGGTGTAATTATCAGTGTAATGGAACGATGACTATGATATAATATTTGGTTGATTTATTTTTTTTACACTGCAAATTAATGAAGATTTCTATTGAAATCTCAATTACTTAAAATACAGCAATATCCATTACATTACAATTTGAAATCCTCAAAATGCGCTCTTTTAAACCTTAACCAGTTCAATCAAAACTCTTACTATTCAAAAGCCACCTACCCTCTCCGCCATCAAAACTCCATTTTCACGTTTTCTTCTCTTACTACTGTGGCTGAAATTTGTCATGTATCCTCTTGATCGCTACCAGGTCATTGGAAAACTAAATTTTTCTTGGTTTAGCAGTTAGTATTACTATTAGTTCCATTTCTGGTGTGATTTTGGAGGTTGGGATCTTCTGAGCATTAGCTGAGTTAGAATATGCTATCAAGATTTGGGTTCTGATTTGTCTTTCAAAGGCTTCTTATCGTTCCTCATACCTCATGAATCTTTAAATTCCTACATATTTCATTAATTATATATGAACTCTATGAGATTGAATTTTTTACATTTTTGGGATGTTGCTTTTAATTATAACTAAAATTTTGGACTGTACGATTGCCATTCTTTTGAACCATTAGAGTGGTAATAGAGGCCAAACTCACTTTCATTAGTTCTTGTAAAACTAAATTATATTTTGGCGAGACATGCTTGTATAGGCTGTAGACCTTTGTATCATACGACATAATGTAGGTTGATCATTTAAGTTTTCACAAAAGATTTGTATATTCCTAATTACGGGTATTTGTATGATATTTCTTTATTTGCATTATTTTTAGAGAGAAGTATGATTTAGTCTTTGAGGTTTGACCTAATTATCTGATTCATCCATCTTGGTAAACTCTATTAATTAATCATTCTGTTACAAAAAAAAAAAAAGCAGTTTTATCGTGAGTCTACTGAAAAAATTGAAGTCAGGTGGAAGAATAAAAATTTAAGACAGAAATAACCTCTATAACTGGTGTAAAACTAGAAATTCCATCTAATATGAAAAACATATTAAAGGAAAAGGAAGGAAAAAAAAAAAAAAAAAAAAATAATATAAACAAACAACAAAGAATAGAAAAAAAAAAAAACATCAAACCCAAGAATTCCATCTTAATATAAATTAATAAGGGAAATTAATTATCTAATCCTTAAATATGATGAAATTATCTAAGTAGTTCCTTCGTTTTGGATAAATATTCAGCATTTTACCCACATTTGCATCTGTCACTCTAAGTAGTCTTTCCGTTCAATTTTAAGAGTTTTTCCCGTTAAGCTGTAAATGACAAAAACACCCCACAGGCAATATGAAAGCCACGGACCTTCTTTCCCTCTCCAACACCTTCGCTCGCACTGCCTCCACCATCCCCACCCTCCCTATCTTCTCCACCGCCGCCTTCACTATCACCACGTTCAAAGTTCCTACTTGCACCACCTCTGCCTCCACCTCCACCTCCGCGCCCTCTATACATACAGAAAGTTGCTGTTGTTCCTTGGGTTACACACCAGGGACATTAAATTCAATGGCATTGACTGTCCATTACAGTACCATTGCAGTTAAATACCCTTTTCCCCCGGATTCTTGTTCCTGTACGCGGCAGATTGGATCAAATCTTGAGAATGCCTAAAGAAGGCTCAAGAGGGTTCAAGCGCTTGAATTTCTTGAAGAAATCCAAGTGGGTCATTGTGTCTCACTCTTGTGCAGATGGGCCGCAGTTACTGATGTGTTGTTCTTGTTCATTTTGATTAAAAGAATAAAGATTCAAACGATATTGTATTGTGTTCAACTTTAAAGAAAATACGAAAGGGGCATTCTTTCAGAAGGTGAGGTAATGGAAGAAAGAAAGCATTTAATGGCCAAAAACTGATTTACATTATGTGGGTGGTTTCTATTGTCCAGTTAAGAAAGAAAATGACATAATTAAAAAGCATTTAAAACGCTTTTCAAAGAAATAGTCAGGATTAGTTGATTAGCATTGGAGAAACAGTGAATGGGTGAAAATTGAATACAAGTGGGTGTGGTATAAATTTTTATATGAGAAAATTCAAGAGGAAAATCATACTGCACGCTGACCACCATCTGTGAAGGCTGCACTTTCAGTTTCAATTTATTCATTCGGTTTACATGTTTGTCTTGTTCTCAGGCTTCTTGGATTCAACCCCTTCTTTTCAATTGTTTTGATTCTGATGTTTTTATATAGAAAGAAAGATTGTAAAAAGCTTTAAGGACAATTTTTGTCATTTTAAAAGACCCCTCACACCTCTCTCTTATATTTTCTTGTGTTTTAACGGCAAAAGTAGCCAAAAATGGATGGAAGAACTGTACAGTTTAACGGAAACGAATCTTAGAGACTCTTTAGATATTTGATCAAATTACAGGATATTTTTAGATAATTCGTCATACATCAGGTAATAAAGAATTAACAAATGATATTATAAAATAAATAAAAAAGTAATAAAGCGCTTCATCTAAAATAAATTAACAAACAATGAGAGAAGAAAATCAAGAACCCCAGGAGTTATAGAAACTGAACCATAGTGGGAATCAGGACTACATCTGGGTTTTAAGTTATCAAGAATACAAAGGACTAAGTGGAGACCAAATTTATCGAAATAGCAAACCTATTGGCTCGAACAATATCAAAAAAGTTATCTTGAAATTGAAATCCAAATCACCACCACTACGCATCTAAATATCATCTCCATCATTTTGCTAAATTGATAAAACATAAATACTCATTTTTTCCCCTATCCAAACAATAACTATTATAGCCATGACAATCCAAGCAGGTTTCTTCAGCCATACCATCAATCCAAGTAGGTCTCTTCACCAATCCAAGTAGGTCTCTTCACCCGTACCATCATCATTTTAAAATCCAAAAAGCTTCCATAGAAACCCACATCTTCATTCTCCCCTCGAAGCTTCTCACTTTGTCCAAAAGATCTCTGAAAATTGCACATAGATAGCGTAAACAAATCACTTTGATAAATCATTTGATTCCAATTATTTTGCGATTACACAATTACCTCAATACAACCAGATTAGACGCAAACTAGCTTTTGGTTTTACCAGATCAAAGGCCATGCTAAGTGAAAGGTGAAGGAGAGAGGAAGAATATGGAAATGATGGTTGAAAATATGTAATATCCACTGAAAATCTATGATACCCATGATCCAAAATTTTTTATAAAGAGAGGCCAGAGAAAAATAACGATCCGAAAGGAGGAAGTCATGAAAGAAAAATAATTTGAAAGTAAGGCTAAAGAATCTGAAATAGAAGAGAGAAGGCCGTCAAAAATGAATCTATAAAAAGAAAGCCGACAGTGAAAGATGAACAAAATAGAGAGAAAACGATGGCTTTGGAAAAAGATTTTTCTTTGTTATATCTTGATAATAGGAGATTACAACATTTGTATCTAAATACAGCTGTAAAGACTAAAAGTAACTGTTATTATAAAAGTGCCCTTAACTAACTAATTACATTATGAATACATTTAATCTAATATGGTCTTCATCCCCCCTCAAGTTGGAGGATGCAAGTCAAGCAAACCCAACTTTTGAAAAGGAGATCTAGATGCAGAACATGATTGAATGGCTTAGTGAACACATCAGCAAGCTGGAGATGAGAAGAAATATGTAAAGGCTGAATGAAGCCTTGCTTGAAACAGTCTCTTACCAAGTGACAATCAATGTTGAGATGCTTAGTCCTTTCATGAAAAATTGGATTAGCTGATATATGCAAAACAGCATGATTATCACAATGCAAAGGGATAGGAGAATCAACAGGAACATGCAAATCCTTTAAAATGTAAGAAATCCATAACAGCTCACAAACAGTAGAAGCCATGCTTCTATATTCTGCCTCAGCAGAAGAGCTTAGACTTCCATGAAACTAAAGCCCCACCAAGCAACACACAATATCTAGTTAATGACCTTCTAGTGAAGGGACATGTAGCCCAATCAGCCCCATTAAGCTGCAAAACAGTGTTAGCAGGAAAAAATAACCCCTTATAAGGAGAACCAGAGAGATATCTAACAACTTTGAGAGCAGCCTGCATATGAGGTAATCTAGGTGCAGCCATGAATTGGCTTAGACATTGAACTGAAAAACTGATGTCAGATCTAGTTAAAGTAATGTAGAGAAGCTTCCTAATGAGCCTCCTAAACTAATTAAGTTCAGATAAAAGATCACCTTTCTCTAAGAGAGCTTAAAACTCTTGGGAAAAGGAGAAGAAGAGGATTTGGCATTCTGCAAGCCAGTTTCTATAATGAGATCCATAATGAATTTCTACTGGCAGAGTAAGGTACCAGAATCAGATCTGGCTATCTCAATAGCCAAGAAGTATTTGGCAAAATCAAGATCTTTGATCGTAAATTGTGCATCCAAAGCAAGTTTTACAGCAGAAATAGCATCCATATTGTCACTAATGATGATTACATCGTCAACATACACAACAAGAACTAAGAAAGAATCAGGAAGATCTCTAGTAAACAAGTAGTGATCATGTATAGATTGCAGAAACCCAGCTTCAAAGTGAGAAAATTAGTGAGCTCAACATTCCATTGACGCGAAGCCTGCTTAATGCCATAAAGAGAACGCTTTAGAAGACAAACCTGACATGGTATAGCCTTATTTATAACCAGCAGGGGGAAGCATATATACCTCCTCATCAAGAAATCCATGTAAAATGCATTATTAATGTCCAATTGACAAAGGGGCCAATTGTGAGAAGTAGCCACAACAAAAACAATCCGGACAGTATCTATTTTGGCTATAGGAGAAAACCTCTCCTTGAAATCAATCCCCTCTATCTGATTATATGCCTTAGCAACTAATCTTGCTTTATACCTATCCACATCACCAATAGGTTTATACTTAACCTTATAAACCCACTTAGAACCTATTGCCTTTTTACCCTTAGGCAAAGAAGTCAATTCCCAAGTACCATTCAATTCTAAGGCATTCAATT